CAGAAAGTTCATTGTGATCCATACACAACAATGTACATAGACTAAGGGTCATTCTTGCTGCAATACTGATTACTTATTATGGTCCAATAGTACCAATTAATGCTGTTTCTATACACTAAAGATTTCCATTATATTGCTCAACTGCATTGCGATTCAAGTCTATTGCTTTTGAACCTGAATCGAACTCTGTCAGCAACTTGGTGTTCAAATCAAATCTCTCCAATAATCCACACTTTCTCGATTGTTCATTACTTCTGTGCCCTTCTGATCTTTTACCTGATGATTGCTCAATAGAATTACCATCATAAATATTACTTCTACTCCTTTTGATTTTGCTACCTTCACTCTCTGATCCACTCTTTTCTGCCGGATGCATTTCCATCAGCGAGAGCACAACGGAATCCCTCTTCCTTGTACAGGGTTTGGAAACATTTTTCTTCTCGTTGTCATCAAAGTCAAGAATCGGACGAGTTTCTTCCTCTCTACCCGAGCTCTCAGCTGATGTCAAGGAACTCTCGAGTGAGCATCCGGTATGTGTTGGTAGTATATTCTTTGCATTCTTTAAAACTAAGCCTTCACTCTCTGTCAAAACGGATAATGAAGGACTTAGACATCCAGTGTCAACCATCGCGACTAATTGAGAAAGTTGAGCTTTTTCTTGTTCAACTTCAGTAGAGGAAAAACAATATCCAGACAGTTTTTCCTGTGCTTTCTTCAGGACTGATTGTAGATACTTTCCTTGTGCCTCAATTCTCAGCTGCAAATGCCTTTGTACCTGGAATATGAACAGACGATAAAATCCTGCTTAATCAGAATATGCGCTTTTCATTGACAATCAAGATTGCATAAACATAGAATTTAATTCGTTTGTTCTACCTCAATTTGTTCGTGAAGTTTCCTCCGCACCTCCATTTGCACTTGTAGAGCCTGAGCTACATGCAAATCTCTGATAAAGCACAACCTATATCAGTAAACATTCCTTCATCCTTTCTATTTTATCAAATAATCTAGGAAACCATATATAAAAACTATTACTCATTAATCTGGTTCTGTTCTCCGTCACAATTCCTTCTAGAGAAGTGACTCTTGTTATCTCTGTAGTCTGCATTGAATGACATTTTCATTAGTTCCAATCATGATGCAGCGTGATCCAAGGAATTCAAGCGAAAACCTTAAGAACACAAATTGAAAATTCATGAGAGAATGAAAGATAAAATCAAGAATTCCAAGATGTCCAAAAACAAAAACAAAAAAAAAGAAAGAATTATCCTTTTATTTATAAGGATTTAAATGAATAACTAGCCTAAAGGAACTAAAATTATAAAGAATTCGAAATAAATTAAATGACAAAAATAATACTAAAACTTAAGAAGCAATTTTCAGTTCGTCTTGTAGTTCCCTTTCCGAAAGGTATTACGGGCCCATATTTGAGCTCGAACGCCACATCCGCAATTTACTGTTTTTCCCTTTTTGGTATAACTGCTCAATCCACTCGACCATCTATTCCACATCACATCATATATATATTCATACTTATTCATGATATCACATAGACTACAAGAAAATGTTGCTTACTTTCTTGTTCATTATCCTCGTAGTAGGACTGCGATCGTTGATTCTTTCCAATCCTATATTTCTGCAGCGAAGAACATTTTCCTCGTCAAAAATCCTTCTAAAGAAAACGTGCAAGAAAACAAAGTGTTGTCATATGTAAACAAGAACCTTACCTGTAAATGACTCTTGAGGTGGTACAAAGTTAGTCCTTCAACGCTCATCACCCTCATTAAGGATTTCGGTGTAGCCTCTGCATTGAAGAATCACAACCAGATCAGAATACATATACATAGAGACTAAGCTTACACATATAAATTTGACTGAATCATAATTCTTTATACTCAACTATTTGCACCTCCAAGCTGATTAACTGCATCGACAAACCTTTCGTGCAGTTCTTGATTCCATTTCAATCTCGGTTTCGCATCACTGGATAACAAGAAGCTCGTATCTTTATCACGAACGTTTTGAAGAGCCATTTCTCGTTTTTTATGATAAGAATGAAGTATAAGAAAGGGTGTTTTTACTTCGTTTTAGGTATTTTTTTGGCTCAAATATGTGGCAGATGTTATTCTCTTTATAATTGGAGAAGTTGTTGGAGTATCCTGTGTTCTCACTCCTTATCAGGAAACACAAGTGGGGTTATGTTGGCGGAATATATGCCATGAGCTGTTGCCCTTTTCTTTTCTACCATTTCCCATTTCATAATCAAACTTTGCCCCAGTTCGAAAACCATTATTTCAAAATCTTTTACTATACAGATTTATTTTAACCACACATTCACATAATAAAATATTCTGCATGAAAATTCAAAACATTTTTCCACTTTTTAATCACACATCATCCTTTATTTAGCCCCCGTTTGGCCTCCATTAAAATATAATTCATTTTTCTTTCTCTTTTTATCCATCACACATTCTACAATAAAATAATATTATACGTAAATTCAAAACTATTTTTTCCTTTTTAACCACACATTTTTAAAATTACACTTTTGTAAAAATGGGTGACACTACACGTACATCAAGATGTCTATAACGATATTCATCCCCTCATATGGAGGGGACCCTCTTCGGATATTCCTCTAAAAATTATCATCTTAAACAATGGAGTCAAAAGTGGGCTTAAATTTCCCAGTTCCTTTTTTTTTTTTTTTTTAAATGTTCGCTCTCTTCTTTGACTTGAAGGGGTGGAGATAATCTTTCTTGCAGCAAAAATTTGAGGCTCAAAAAGGAAGAAAGAAGAAAAAAGTGTGGGGTTTGTTTTTATACATTCACAGAGATACATATATTATTATTATATATTACACTGCGTTTTTGTGATATTCCAGACTAGTTAGGCAGTCCCCACCATGTTGTATGATGGATGAAACTTTTCTAAAACTCTAGAGAGGCTTTAATGCAAAATTTTAATGATTGAAATGCTTTAATGAATATTTCTTTCCAGGTGAATGAAATGGATAACATAATTTATTTATTTTTTGGTTTTTCAAGCTGTCAAAGTAACTTGATTGAAATTAAGGGATCAAATCGTAATCTAATAAGTTCATAATTGTTATTGCTACGTCCATATGAATAACGATTGCTACAAATTGACATAGTCAAAAGTGTAATTTACTTGCGGCACGATTCATGCAATTGCATTGAAACCTTTCGTTCTTCCGTGTAGCAAAAGGTTCAAACTATTGACTATGTCTTGTGCTTAATGTAGAATAACTAGCCTACAATAATTATTCCTTTCCCATTGACTCATATTATTTTGACTACAAAGAAGATTTCACATTATATATATATATATATATGAAATGACATAGAAGAAATGACAAAAAGTCTATACCAATTCCTTTCGAGCTGAAGAAAATTTAAAAGGATTATTCCCCTTATAATTATGGATACCGTTGTGGCACCCCCAATGTACCCATAGCATAATCCTAAAATTGCTTAGATTTCTTTCGTAGAATATTTTATTTTTATTGATTTAAAATTTTAATTAAAGCAATATCCGAGTTCA